CAAAAAAAAAACGAAACTCTAGGTCGAAACAAGGCAAAAAATCAAATTGGCCCCTAATTAATTCTTCTCCAAATCAAAACTTATATCCCTAAATCGATATTTTTAAATCGACTTCCCAAAATTGATCCTCCTAAGTCGAATTTGAAGCTTCCTAGCAATTTTAAAATTAAATATAGCTGTTGGAATCTCTCTAGTAAATGATCTGTCACCTAACATTAGCTCCTCTTTCTCTTTTACTCGTCATGAACGAAAATCGATGTCCTTATTGCGACACTTATCATATATATGTTTCTCATTCATATCTCTATATATTTGTACCTCTTGGTACGATTCAGTTTAAATGAATACAACATATTCTTTCTGTTCACGAAGTATTCTATTTTCTATTCTTTTATTACCCCATCATTTTCTACATGGTATCAGACCGTTAAAATCCATTATTCTCGTTTAACTTTTTTGTTATATTCTCTTATTCTTCAATTTTGGGTATGGAAAATTCAAAGCAAGTTGCTCTACTTGTTATTCTTCAATAACATCAGTGGTCAGAAACGAAAATATAAATTGTGGCCTCTTCTAGTTTTATTATTGTATCTTAAACAATATTATATTTCAACAACAAAATCTATTTGTCTTAAATAATTTTAAAGCCCGAAAAATCTAGATATTTTAAATAATTTTAAGAAAAAAGATTCGTTAAACATACTAAAGACTATGTCCCTTGTTAATAATTTGTTCACGATGAGATATTGTTCTTAAATTTTTATAACTATATGAATTTGAGAAGAATTTAAAAAAACAAATATATGATATTTTTATCTCATTTCAGTAATCGAAGGCCGTGAGACCCAGGACACAAAATTGTTTTGGAATATATGTTTCTCAGTTTCTCTTAACTCATTAAACAGTGTTTTATAATTAACTATTAACTAGAACTTTAGTTTTCTTTTTAATATTATAATATGGATAGAATCATTTTGATCAAAACAAAAAGTAAAATAATAAGGATAGAATCTTATATAAAAAGAAAGAAAAATATAACTGGAAAAAAATGAATTTAAACATGCCTAAAAGAGAAAATCATATATATAATTATGGAGCTTTATTTCCATCTAGGGTGTCCGTAAAACAAAAAAATTATATTAAAAACTATTTGAGATATTCAATTAATTATTATTTATTTGTATTAATTGTAATTTTGATGTATAACTCTATATCTATATAAAATTTATAGACACACACGAAATTAAGTTAATATGAATACATTTAAAGTTAAACTTAATAATATTAAGGAAAATTAGCATGTACATTAGGTTTGCTATCTATAATTGATTATTTAACATTAGCTAAAACATATATATGTAACTTACGATGGTCTTGATTTGACGCTTTTAACCTTAATGAAAACAAGAAAAAAAAACCTAATTCATTGTC